CCTTCCGCGAAATTTAGCTAGGACCTGCCAACGATCCCACGCGACCTTTTGTTTATCACGGACGTTTCCTCCTTTTCAAAGCAGCTTTGCAAAGGGCAGCGACGTGGGGGCTGCACGGCCAGGCGGAGCTGGGGCGCCGAGCTCTCACACCCCCAGATCAGGCCGCACTGTCTGGAGCAATCGGTTTCCCAGATTACTTGTATTTAATACACAATGCATCATAAAACAAATCCCTCAACCTGACAGGAAGAAAATAGAACAGCTCATACTCAGCCGGTCCAATTTATGGCTAAATTAAAAAAAAAAAAGGAAAAAAAAAAAAAGCTCCGACAATGGGCAAGTCGAGGAAGGGCAGGAAATCAATGGCAGCAAACCCGGGGCTCTTCAAGGTTCTCAAGCGCTGGACTCTATGGGAATATCTGCGCAGCATTAGGGTATTTACAAAGGATTTTTCCTGTCCTACCTTCCATTGCTGTGCGATTTTCCCTCAAACAATGGCCATTATCTGAAGTAACAGTTCAATGTCACAGATAACAGGCCACCGAAACGAATTAGTCACCACCTCTTGTCATTTTCTCTACCCCCAACCCTCCCTTTTGTTACTATTCTTGTTTTTAAGTCAGCGTTGGGGGGAAATATAATTCTACTAAGTTTACACGTTTATTTGCACTTGGAGAAAACAAAAAGTGGGTGGCATTTGTCTCGCCCGGCTGGAAGATAAAGTTTAGCCGCAACTCCCGCCCTCTCCCTCGCCAGGGTCCCCGGACCCGCTTGCTTTGCTTTACTCTCCATTGTGGAGCCGGGACTTGGGAGTTGGCCTATTTGTTTTTATGAATGGAGGCTTGTGATAAATAAGCATTTATTTCCACTTAACCAGTGGGATTTGCTAAATCTTCCAAGGTCGGCTCTAAGTAAATCTGAGGACCCTTTTATTTTGCCAGGCATTCTCTGGGTTCTTTCTTAAGACCAAAGTCCTTTCTGCGATGAAATACATTTTAGAAAGTTATTCAACATAGCGTAGTTACTGATCACTAAAAGCAACATTTATGATGTTAAAAATTAAAAATAATCTGAGTTGTCAAATTGCTTATTCCATTTGGGGTGTTCTTGGTGTCTTAATTAACGTATCAAAGAAAACGGCAAAAAAAAAAAAAAAACCCGCCCTAGACAGTTGTCAATCTCTCTCTAAGCCCATAACAGGCTACTGGGGTGGGTTATATGCAATGTTTCAGATTTTAAAATTTCTTCTTCTAAGATAAAGAAAAATTTTGCATGCCCTTCTGCTGATCTAATTATAAAGACGTAGAGAATAAATTAGGGCGCAAGTTTTAATTTAAAACAATTTTTTTAAAGATGCTTAGCAGAAAACTGGAAGTGTGTATGTCAACTTTTGGCTCTTGAGGCTGCTGTTTTCTGAAATTTTCTAAACTAATTGTGTTTAGTCTGAGCCAGCGTCGCTCTACCCGGAGCCTCATCCTCGCCCCTCCAGCGCCCGCCCCTCCTCCCCCCCAGGCTGCCGGAGCACACACCCTCACACCCCTGAAAGCCTCCCCACCCCCTCACACACTCGCACACTCGCACACACTCACACACTCACACACTCACACGGTGCTCTCAGGACACCGAAAACAGAGGATATTTCCCTGGGGAAAGAAATCCTGCCCGGAGAGGTCTCCCCATTGGTTGTTTACCCGGAGAAATCTACATGTTTAAGGGGGATGGTGCATCCATAATCAGTCTGTCCCTATAGGACTTGAGTCTTGGCGACCTTTTTGTGACCTCTCCCGCCGGAGGAGGCTGCTGTCACTTTAAAAATTTACTGAAAGAGGAGCCGGTCTGGCTTCCGATCACTCCGGGCGGCGGGAGATAGCTCCCTTTCTCCCTCGCCCCGGGTCCTTTCTGGATGGCCGAGCAGATCCTCTTTAAAGGGACAGTTCATGAAATAGAGACCCGGCGGCTGCGCCCGGAGTCGCCAGAGGGGACCAGCCGGCCAGGGGCCGGGGCCGGCGGCCGGCCGGCTGCGGAGGACCGAGAGGGGCAGGGAGCCCCGCGCGTCCCCGTCCTCGCCTCCTCCCTCCACCTCTCGGCCGCGCGTCCCCCGGAGCTGGGAGACTGGGAAGAAGTTTTAGTGGGTTTCAGATAACTTTCATTACACCTCGGGCTGATAAGGGCAGGGAAAGTGAGAAAAGAGGGAGGCGATGCGAACCGGAGGAGCAGCTCTGAGCTCATTTAGGAAGGGGGGGGGGAGCCCAAACACAGCGACCCGGGGCGCCCCGACGAGAGAAGACTGCGTTTCTGGGTCTAAAAAACACGGTGCTGGCGGACAATAAATCTGAAACGCGTGGTCGGGGAGCAGATCCAGGGACAGCGAGTTGTCAGAGACCCATTTGGAAATCGACACGCCAGGCTTTTCCTTTTTTTTTTTTACCCCCCCCCCCCCCCCCCCAACATCTCGAAATGTTGCTCGTGATCGTTTGAAAGGATTTTCGTGCAGAAGCTCCGGGGGGCTGCTGATTGTTTTGTTTAGTTTAATTCTTCTGTGACTGTGATTGCCTTGTATTGCCGAGTTGAGGCCATAGAAATCAAAGGTAAGAGAACTTCTCACTTAAAAAAACAAAACAAAAACCCCCCAACTCTTGGCGATGCGAAAGAGCGTCACTCGGGACGGTTCCCGCCGCGGCGCCCCGGGGCCCGGCCGCACCCCGCGCGCGCAGCCCGGGCCCCCTGCGCGCCGCCCCGAGCCGGGTCCTCCGCGGAGCGGCGCACGGCGCACAGTCCGGGGCGGTCCGGCCCGGGTGGGTCTCGCTGCCGGCTGCCGGCCTCCTCTCCTTTCTCTTCCTTCCCCTCCCTCCGTGTGCCTGTCGGTCGGTTTCGGGGACGCAGAGGTGGGGTTGCCAAAATCTGAATTCCTGGCACCGGCCACGCGACTTTGGAGCGGCTTTCGGCCGAGTTCCACCTTGCCAAGTAACAGCCCTGGCTGTCCAACATCGTGAGCTGCTACGCGAGAAAGTCACATTCGGACCCTTTGGCGAGATGGTGGAGATTTTTTTTTTTCCTTTTGCTGTTAGTTTTTTGAAAGGGCCTTTCTCTAAAGTCCACCTAAAAGCAATTTTTTTTTTTAAAGCTATCTTTGGAGCTTGACAGCTTTTAAAAACACAGGAGCCTGTTAGATGAAATGACGGAAGATGTGTTCTTAACTGTTTCAGTCGCGATTTCCGAGCCGATTAAGACATTTGGGAGACAAATGCTGGGCTACTAGCAAATCAAAAGTGAATAATTCACCCAGGGGGCGAATGTTTCTGGAGAAAGCTAAGCTTTTGTCTTGGGGCAAGAACACTGAAAGAAAGTTAATAATGGTGAAATCTTTTGAATAATCAAGTAACAGCTTTTGTGAAAAGACATTCTTTGGAAACGAACCTTTAAAAAATTAACTTCGCTGTTGACAGTGGCAAGGGCAATAATGTTAACGCGGAATAACATTACACCTAGGATTTTTATGTGCAGTCCATGTAATACTTAATTCCCTGCGCCCGCAGAAGGGAGTGCTTCAGAGCTAGGGGATAGATGCTTCTCGACTTTGAAATTAACAAGTTTTCCACGTCTTTCTGCAAATATGAAGTGGAACTGGTGTTGCATTTCACTGGCGTCACCCTATTTCCTTTATTAAATATTTCTCTGGTGTGTCAGGAGAAGAGCCTTTTTCTTTTCTTTTCTTTTTTAAATTTGTTTGCTTGTCAAAAAAAAACAAAACTAACAAATGATCAACCAAAGTCAAACAAACCAAAAAAACAAATAAAACCCAACAACCCCAATTTTTACTATTTTAGAAGTGCATTGCTATTGTTATTTATCTGCCCTTTCCACTATCTGGGAGGGGGCAATCTCGAGTTGCCATTGAGTTGTTCAGGACTGAGAGTTGAAGAAACATCTTAAAGTTTGTTATAAGTAAGGAATTGTTAAAATGTGCCTTTCTTATTAAAAAGGGTATTTAAGTGTAGACTCTTTCGTTGTTAATATGAAGAGATGTCCTTGGAAAAGAAGCGTCTGAGGGGTGTGTGCACGTTTGGTGTTCAGCAATATTATCCCTGTCTTCTGTTTGGAGATTCTTCTTTTATAAATTGTGGGAGGACTTACTGCCCTTCCATAGCCTCATGGCCAAAGGCTTATTCACAGTGGCTCTCCACCAGAGCCTGCGAGCACTGAGTTCTTGAAGTTTATGGTGAGTTAATGGCTTGAGTCGGCCATTGGCTTATTACCTGAATTCTATGCAGAATTGCCTTTGGTCTAATTTCTCAACAGTTTAGATTTAACTTTTATGCAGGTACAGACACAGCAGAGTTCCGTAGGGGTTATTTAATTCGTTAATTTTTGTTCTAGTCAATATTGTTTAGTCTTTGATAGGAAACTTCCTCAAGTTTGTATTAACTGACATAACATCAACCTTTGCAGTTATTTACATCAGGCCATCAACTCTGCAGCTTTTAATATTAAGATGTATTGCTATTAGTGAATCAGAAGAGCTGGGGCTCAGAACACAAAATCTTAAAAGTGGAAGGTTCTCATTTCATTTTTTGTTTAATAAATGAGTGATGACCAGTATTTGGGATAGGCCAAATGTAAAGCCTCATAAAAAATAACAATACAAAGGCAGACATAAGGATGGCAGTATGTTACAGAATTTTAAACTTATTTTGTACTTGTTCTCCAGAAGCCACTTTTGTTATTTTGCTCCCTAAATGTAATGATGAAGCATTGCCATGTGTTAGCTGAAAGCTTAGGCTGCTATACTTGGCATGAGCACGTCTCAATTGATTATTTTCGTTTTTTTTTTTTTTCTCTAGTTTGGTCAGAAGCATCTATGAGAAAAATCTTATTATCTCCTTCCATTAAGTGTGTAATTTAATTGTTTCCTGGTGAAGAAATGCTAACTAAGGACAGGAGTTAATAATATCTAGGTTAAAGTTTTTAAATTGAATTAAAGTACAAAAATGTAAAGCAAAAACAAAAACACCCTTAACATAACAAGATTACCCAAACCTAAAATATTGACTATTTAGTTTAGAATTAGTGTGTTACTATTTGCTGGCCAATGTTATGTTTTGTAAAAATCACACTGGATAAAATTAAGTCAGTAACACTCATTCAGGCATAATGAGGAAATGAGCATTTTTGAAACCCATTAATTCGTTTTTGTAGTAAGTTAAAATCCTTTTATTTCTTTTAAGAAGGCAGTGCGTTGTCATTTCCAAGATAACTTCTTATTACTTCCCCTTTATTAAAACGCCTGCTCTATGACTTATTATTCTTTTAAGGATTCAAAGGAAGAATGTACATTTCAGTGAAATAGTTTCAAGCAATTATTTTAATCCTTTTAATTAACAGACTGATAAGGCAAGTGATTGTTTTCATCTTCTTCCTTCCAGATCTTAGACGAGTTTTGCAATGTGAAGTTCTGCATAGATGCCAGTCAGCCAGATGTAGGAAGCTGGCTCAAGTACATCAGGTTCGCTGGCTGTTATGATCAGCACAACCTTGTTGCCTGCCAGATAAATGATCAGGTATGTTGTAAAGATTTTCTTGTCTGTCTTTGAGAGCACTAAAGTATCAGTGAAGCCTGAAGAATAAAAATAACAGTTGAGCTGCAGTAGACCCTGGTGGCCTGTTTGTTGATGGGGAAAGGTAACGCACAGATACAAGTAAGATGCAGAACAGTCTTGTCAGCACTGCTTTCTCTGAGTACTTTCCCACTTTGCAGTCGTATCCATAAATGCTCCCGTTTTTTATGGTGTGATTGAGTGATTAGGAACTGAATACTTATTTATTTTTCACTGTTGTTTATGTTTTTCTTTATCATCCCAGTAGGTACATTCATAGCAAGTATTGAGCTAAACAAGAATATCCTGTGAATTTTTTGCAAAAATTGGAAGTGATATACTTGAAATGTTATATATGTTTAATTTGAAATGGTGGGTAGATATATATATATGAGATAGCAGGGTGCACTTACCTGATTATGCTTTTATATTGATTTGCCTAGTTTTAAAGGAGAACACTTACTTTTGGATTAATTAAAATAGACTCCTTTTTTTGCATATGTGAACAAGTTTAAAAATAACACTACTTGAAATTGCTTTGTGACATGATGGAGGACTATGCAGTGAGGTTGACTTTAATAACAATAACTCTGAAGTAAAGATCATGAAAATATCATGAAACATATTTTGCACTTAATAAAATTAGGTTATGAATCTTATAACTTAATATGACAATACCTAAAATAACAAGAAGTTCAGCCTGTTAATTTTTGTTTTATAAACATTGTTGGGTTAGAATTTAATTATGTTATAATCATTTATTTCTTTTAACCCAATGGTTTCCTAAATCAACTATGTTTCAAAGACCATATTGAAATGGTTTCTTGGCAAATCTACTATGAAATCACCACCAAGAAAAAGAAAAGTTTAAATTAGATGTTTCCAATTGAAAGCTGTTAAATAAAGCTAGCGTCATATGGTCTAAGACTTTATTTCAATCATCGTTATGAGATTATTCTTTGGCATTTTACCAGCTACCAGATAATTTTTACTAGCTAAACTGCATAAGAGGTAGTAAATTGTAAAATTAGGTTTAAATGGGAATCATTTAAAAATCTTCAGCGTATATCAAAAATAATAAACCAATCAATTGTTTTTTTCTTTTTGCCGTAAGAAAGCAAGAGGCATTATTGACCAAGAAAACATTATTAAATTAGCTATTGATTGTGAGCCGAAAATATCACACATCTGTTCCATGAATTATTGTCACCACCAACTGCAGACATCTTTTGAGCACCTACTGTTTGTAGATGTGGGAAATACATAGGTATTATAAGTGAATAAGTTGTTCATATTATACTTCCTTAAAAAGAAACTGGAGAACCTCAAAGGATAGCTGTGAAAGGAAATAAAATAATCAGACCATAATAATTATTTGCCATATATATTTACTGACAGTACCAGCTATTTCCTTAGGTAGATAAAAACTGTTGTAGAATCAGAGAAAAGGCGATTTAAGAATGGGACTTGAAGTCAACCCAAGTTCACGTGTACCTATTTTTTTATTTAATATGGAGGCATCTAATGTTTTATAATAAATATACTTTTGTCATGGGGAATCTTGATTTTATTTAAAGAGGGAAACTATTTTGCTCTTCCTTGCTGTGAATTAGGTTACTCATTAGAGTAGACATTTATGATTTTACTGTAGTTACTATTGAAATAATACTGTAAAATGCATTGTTTTTTAAGTGAAAATATGCTGGTTTTATGCCTTGATGAATGGCATATTTGCTTATTTCACTTAACTAAAGAACCAGGGGAAATAATCAGGAAAAAACATATAAGGCAAATATTAGACATGTGCTTATCTTTTTTTAAGTATTCATTTTAAACTTCTGTATTATGCTGCCAGAGATCTAACATGGTAACCGAGTGCATATCAAATATCGTAATTGTGAAATTAGTATTACATGGTCAGGTAAGTAACAAGGAAGGAAGGCCAGAAGGAAAAGTCAGGTTTGTGTGTGCACCCAGTTGACAAGACAAAGCGATGAGACCCCCAAATAGTCTATTATAAGGCACCATGGTCATCTGTGAGCTCAGATACCTATTCTGAAAGCTAATTAAGAATGGCAATTGTAGACAACTTCGAAATGTGGTTGTTGGCCTGGGTGCAGTGATGAAACGCTGACTGCAGAGATTGCCCAGGTCTGTTTCCTCGCTCTCCTTTCCATTTTCCAAATGGTGAATAAGCACAACTCATCGAATAGTGGACACTCCCATTGTGTGAGAAATTATTTAATATTCAGACAGAAAGAGCAACAGTGGATTCGGCGTAATTATCGAAGATTAGCAACCTCAGTGCAAACGTCCTGCTTTCTAAGAAAGTGTAAGGAGTGTCACTTTATTGCTTGGATGCTGAGACAGAGCTCCAGTTTATAACAAGACAGGTCTACATTGTAGATGCTAAAAAAGGAAGAATTTCAGCTGATGCTTTCAGCTGCGGTGTGGTCACGGTGCTAATTAGGTCATCTAACAGAAAAGGATAAAAATTACCAAGAACAAAACAAGAGTGCATGCATTATAGTTGACTGTTGCAATGCTACTTGTTTTTAAAAATTCTAATGTTAAAGATCATGTTTAACTAATTTGGATCAGTTTTATAATGATGTGGATGAGGGCTATAAAAGAAAATAAAACTGCTTGCTAAGATGCTAATCCACTTTGATAGGAGTGGGACAGTCAAGTGTGTGTTGGATAAAACTCACGTTTGATTTGTTTGGCGGTGAAGTCTTTAGACATAGTGTGGACTTTGGTTTTTAAGTAACATTAATAAAGGATATAATCTATTTTATAAAATACAAAATAAAAACAAAGCTCCCCCCGTTAACATTTGCCAATACCTTTCTACCAGGATTTTATATCAGGGGACATACCTGAGTGTAAATTTTTTGGTAGATCTCTGTGAGTTATTTTATTTCGGATTTTTTTTTTTTCAGACTAGAATGAGTTTTGTGGCAGCTTTTTTTCTTGTCAATGCTGCCTAGAAAAAGGCTCGAGTTTTGTGATTTTAGACTTCTCTTTCATTGCATGCCTTTGGAATTATTGCAGTGATGTTTTTGGAGATAGAAATTCTGCAAATACAGCCATCTCTGCTAAACCATAATTTCTGAGTAGCTGCGGCTTCTGACTGATATCCTTATTTCCTCCTGAAAAAATTGTATTAGCTGTAGTAATTTATCTTTACAGAAGGCCACACCAAAGACAAGAGGCAATTGAGACCACAGTCACACCTAAGTCATAAAAGAGTAGATTCATGAAAAACACCAAAGTCTCTTTATTCGTGGCAACCTAATTATTTTCTTCTCATTCCTTAAAGATTTTCTAGAATGCTGCGTAACTCTACTGCTGTGGGGCAGCATTTAGTGGAAATTTTTACTGAGACAGACAATGCTCAAGTATTGTGCTATTTTAGCAGCCTGGAGTTGTCCTCCGTGGCTTTCAGGAGTCAGAGCTGGTCCTGAGAAGCAGAGCAGGGCAGGAGCCAAGGCAGGGAGGTGACTGAGGACAGCTCTGTCCAGACTGGGTCCACAGGAGGACCAGGCGTACAGAGAGGACATGGAGACAGTTTTTAATTTTCCAGAGGTTTCATTTAAATCTGGGAGCACCTATGAGTTCAATGTCAAGTAGACCGAACATCTAGATTATTTGCTAATTATTTTTTAATGTGGATATTTTGATAGCCTTTGTTTTAAAGTAGAGAAAGTCTGGAAGAGAGCCTTCTTCTGCAAAACATTCTGATGGGTGGAGATAGCACATTTGTTTAGATTTGGTCTCACCTGCTCTGACCCCTCCCCCAACCTTTGATAAGACCCCTGCTATCCCCACATTACTATACTCTTCACCTGGGTCAAAAATAAGGCTACCCAGAGACCTGGTGCACCTCAGACAATGGCAGTGCTCATCTTTGAACATGTCACAAGTTGGGGTACTTGGGGACCCAACAGTTTCCTGTCACTCTTTCTTTGTGATGAGATCAGACCGGTTCTGATCAGGGCACGTGGAGAGGCCACTAGGGCACAGTTCACGTGAGTTGTCTTTTTAGATTTAAACTTGACCTGCCCTTCCACTGATGATAATCAGAATAATCTGGGATCATGCGGGTGGGTAAAATTCTACATATGTATGTGTATATGTCTTCTGTATCATAGAAGGGAGCACAATTTCAAACACCTGGCCTGCCCTAACATGGCCTGTGAGTAAAATAAAGTTCTCAGAAACCTAAAACATTATTAATCTTGTCATGGACACGAGGTGATAAGTCCTTTCATTTTTAAGTAGGCCCTTGACAGCTGGTATTTAGTGAGGAGAATAAGAGAAGTATGCTGTTCACTCTGAACAGAAAGAAATGTGTCGATAAGAGATTATCAAATGCCTGATGTGTATTTTGAAGAAATGAGATGCAAGGGAATGAGGCCCCTTGGAGAATACGAGGCGGAACCCCCTCGAGGGCTCTTCCACTCCCGCGCGGCCAGTGAACAGCGGGGACTGGCCGTGTTTGCAGTTGGGGCAGCATTGTTCTCCTGTGTGCCTTACCTTATAAAGTTTTAACTGCTTCCAGGACGATCATGGCTGATTTAGCAGGCCCGTTTTCACCCTCCGTAGGACCACGTGAATGATTCTGTCAGACTGCTGTGACACAGAGCATATTATTATTGTAAGCTTATTATGGGCTCAATTATTAAGTTATTTTCTTTGGATTTTACTGAGAAAAAAATAGGCTTTCCTGCTTCATTCAATTAGTACAATTTGTGCAAAAAAGCAGGGCAGGTGGGTCAGCTGTGCATGAAGCAAAGATGGGATTTGTCAGCGTCTTCACACTTCTTAATCATGCTTGCGTCCACATCAGGTAATTTGTTCATTTGCTCCTCCTTTACGAGGATTTCTGTTCACATTTTGTAGGACTTCTTTTGATGTTAAAATTATTATTGGCTTTGGGCATTTTCTTTGCTTTGCTTTTA